GCGATGGCGCCACAGGTAAGTAACACTGGCCTCCGCCAGTCTCTCTCCCACTCTACGATCTACTACCTACCAGCGCCCAGCGCTGAAGACTACAGCTACAGCTATGGCGCCCAGCGCCGAAGACTACAGCTAGCGCTACCACTACTGCCTAGCGCTGAAGACTACTGCAGCGCTCCTCCTGAGTGCTGCGGCCGAATCCTGAAGACTACCTCTGCCTACTCACACTACCTACCCGTGAAGTGCATGGGAACCTCCTATGTACTACGGGTGTGCCTCTTGAACCTGCCGAAGGGAGGCAGGGGCTGCAGCTGCAGCYGCTGCTCGAGTACGTGAGGAMCAGGCTATTTTGGGCCTGTTCCGCATCCCTGTTTCCGTGCCTGAGTCTTAGGAGCAGGTCGAAACAATGAGGGCCTGAAAATGGCCCTCCGTTTCAGGCTGAAAACTCTGGGTCTGAAAAGACCCAGAAATAGGCTGAAACGAGGTAGGGCCTGCAGGCCCTCGTTTTTCAGCATCCAGGCTGAAATGAACGGGGCCTGTAAGATCTAAGTTCTAGGCTTTTAGGCTGAATGTCCGGGACGGGCCCTGTAGGGCCCGTGTGGCTACGCAGTATGCCACAGACAGGGAGGAGGGGACTTCGATCAGTGCCCGGCATGGCAAAGACTGTTCCACACCGGACACACAATCGGAAGGGTTTAAGATGCTGAGATAGGGCGGAACAGATGGCTCCCATCATCATCGATAAGTCAAACAGCCTTACACGCTCTACAGCTGGAGGGGAGAACTTAAGAAGTACCCTGGGATCTCAGTCATCAGTGTTTAACCAGTGGAGGTACAATAGGGAAGGGGTGCCGTTAGGAATAGGGGAGGGTTTAGGGTTTAAAGATCTTAGTCTTCGGGTAACGGCTCAGGGGCTTATGGTTGAAGGGTTTGGCCAGTCGGAACGGCTCAAGACAGTAGTCTTAGGCAGATGGTAACTGGTCAAGATGGCTGAGGTTAGGCCCGGATTGAATCAACGGAGACAGGGTGGAGGCTGATTGGTAGACATTTCGGGGTTTTAGGAAAAAGGGAAATGTTGCGTCTACCTAGTCAGAAAATAGGGGGGTTCAGGGCGTGTTGAGGGGTGGGGTTTGTGGAAGTGGCTAGATCCTTTCTTGGTATTCAGGCCCTATACGGCAGGTTAGTACGGCAGACCTGAGAGGAAAGGGTATAGTACGGCAAGCTGACAGTCAATCCTCCATATGGATGGAGCAATCAATGCTGGTCAGGGGTCCTTCGGCCGTACAGACGGAAGTGTGTGTCTGTAATTATGATGTATTATTCTTTTGACTTGCCGGTGGAGTAGGAACTGGACTAATGCTCCCCAGAATGGAAAAGGAGCTTGGGCCATAAGGTCCAGTTTTCTGAAAAAAAAGAAAAGAAAAGAACATGGAAAGATACACCCTGCAATTCCCCAGCCCACAGGAGGCTGCTGCCTCCTTACAAAAAAGGAATTGGGGCCTTTTGGACCCCACTTCTTGAAAAGAACGCGTGAAGATCTCTCCGCCACTGATCTTCGCAGATCAGCGGAGAAAAGTCACCGCATTTTCTTTTCAAGATGCGGGGTCCAAAAGGCCCCGTTTTCCAATTTGGTATCGTTTAATCCAGGGGACCACAGACCATACGTAAATGGCACGTCCTGATGCACGCCCACTCGAAGCCATAAGTAAAGAATATGCCTGAGAGGTGGCTTTGCTTAAGATTATATGCTTCTGCAACGTCCCTATGCTCTGGGGAAAAAGTTATGGGTTTGGGTTGCGGCATGTGAAGTGAGAGCAGCAATGCTGTCCGAGGTGCAAGCCCAAGAATGGACCTCAGTCCACTAAACCACATGCATCTGTACAGACTGCCAGGGAAGGAACTTTCGGACTGAGGACCCACCGTATGTTGAAAAAAAAAAAAAAACAGAAAATGCTATGCCTCCACAAGCTGAACCTGAACCCATAACTTTTTGGCAAGGATGATTTCTCAGCATATCTCGTCCAGCTTCTGGGCTGCTGGCGACTGACGTTATAACCCACAACTTCCTATGGAGCCGAATTGAGATTTCTGGGCCACAGGGGTTCGGACAAGCTTTTTTTTTTTTTTTTTTTTTTTTTTTTTTTTACAAGCATCTTTTTTAAAAACCGGTTTCCCGGTTCACCCCCTCGGGGCTGGTCCGGCACCGGGTGGACCGGGGGAAGCGAACCGGTTGGTTGCCGGCCCACCCTTTATTTTCAATTCAATTCTATTGCGAGGCCACAGCCTCGATGAGCCCCTTTCAGGCCCTGTCAAGCAGCATGTCGGCCGCCCTAAGTGAAGGCAGGCTCGACGAGGACCCCCGGGCCCATATTTCGGTCACCACGCAACTAAGGAAATTCAGGCAGTTGCGCAGCGCCAGTTGGTTGAAAGAACCCAGACCCTGGGCCGCCTGTTTGCATGTATCGAAGGCAGGCCCTGGGCTGGATACGGGATGTGGGCCAAACACAGGCCGAAGGCAGTTGGGCGCAAGCAACCACCTCAGGCCCTGGGCCTGATTTGTCTTGGACTGGGCCTCAGCCTACCGGGGCCTACCGGAAGCTTCTTGGGAAAGGTCCAGCGCAGCCTGGTACAGAACGCAGGCAGGCCACTTCCATATAGCAAAGGGTCTGCCTCCTCATTGGACATTCGGGCACTGGCTGCTTTGTGTGCAAGCGCTGCTGCGCTATCCCCTGCAAGGTTCACACGCTCACGGGCGAGCTGGAAGGAGCAGGCAGCCATAGCCGAGCTGCGCTGCTGTAAGCTGGATGGGGCGCAGGGTGGTCCTTGGGTGCAAGTGGCATCTGTGAATTGGGGAACGAGGTTGTGAGTGATACGAGAGACATACCTGGTGCTAGAAGCGACGGCATTGTCCGAGATCTGCTCGTACTTCGGTGAAGCTGTTGACATCATCCGGCAGCATTGTAGAGTAGGCTAGATAGGATCTGCCATCTGTAGTCTGGGCGCCGAGCGCCAGATAGGATATCAACATTGGTTTTTCGTTGATGATGATGATGAGACTATTTCAGCGTTGTCAATTATGAGCTCTTGGTGTGTTCTTATTTGGTGAAAACTCGTGGTGCAGTTCTGTTGTTGGTTCGAGGTCACGAGTATCTGGTCCTATGTGTATGATGCTGTTTGATTTCTGAAGTTCGCTATCGCTCATCTTCCTTGCACTATCTTCAGTACTCGTGTGCTTCTGCTGTGTACTCTCACCATCTGGTTTGGCGTGGATTGCTTTCTCCAAGTCTACTTGTCATTGCGCATGTGTATGGGAACGCGTGAATGCCAAGCTGGATTCGTTTCAATCAGGCACATAACAACACTATGGGCTCAGCCCAGTTCAGTGTGCCACATTCTATACGTTTGTGGGTTTTGAGAACTTTTGACTCGTACTATTGCAAGTTCGTGTTGTGAATCTCTCGAGTAGACCGACTAGCAAGAATAAAGAAATCCCAAATTGAACCGACTCGTGCCATGTGGCTGCGAATGGTACACCCACAAACTGGTGATAAACGGACCCGAGTTTGAATCCCGATGCTATCAGAAGAATAAAATCATTCGCAATGACCTGGTGCAGGTCATTTCGATGATCACGCCCCAAGGGCATCGCCCTTTTGGAAGAATAAAAAAGGACAGAGGAAACGGAACAAACATATGGCTCAGTACTGTAGGGGCAATGTCAACAAGGCAGACCAGGTTGTCTCACAATGAAGGAACAAAAATATGTCTCAGTACTTCAGGAAAAAAAAACTCAACATGGCAGACCGAGACCTCACACTGGTCGGACAAGGTGGTCTATTAGATAGACATGGTGCGACACAGTCACAATTTAACAGCAGTGATGCAGTTGTCGAGCATACCCTCAGAAACAGAAGGCAGGGAACAAACACACTTCTGCCAGTCTGATCCATCAGAGACCTAGATTCCTTGGGGTCAATATGGGACCGTGCTACGTCCCATCGAAACAGAGCTGGGCCTTGTAGCAAACTCAGTCCCACTGGAACTCTGCTCTCAACACCAAGGTTTGACATCTGGATTCCACAGTATCGTTTCTGTGGCGCACACAGCAACTGCATCGCCCAACCTGTATCCACCAGGGCTTGAACTCATGACTTATTCATCAGCTCAACTGATACAATGGCAACCCAATTGAATTGCATCGATGACACAAACATTCAGCCCACACTCAGCAGCTGCCCAAGATCGTTACAGCACAGTGCATGCATGCACCGGAACCCTAAGCAGACACAGAATCTCCGCTTTTCTGAGGGTGCAGGGGTGGGGGGGGGAGGAGAGAGAGAGAGAGAGAGAGAGAGAGAGAGAGAGAGAGAGAGAGAGAGAGAGAGAGAGAGAGAGAGCATTGGGCAAGAGAGGTGGTCACTCACGTCTTATCCTCTCGCAGCATCCCATCCTTGTAAACTATAATGGGAAAAGACTCAACCAAGTTTTTTGCCAACCCCCGCATCTTGGTCGGCACCTGCAGTCCAGACCACATCCACCCCAAATGGTCACCAAACGTCAAAGGGGAGCGCATGCTAAAACAGAGTCGCACTTGTCTTTTCCTGTACGTATCTGTACCCAAGGCAAAGCCAGATAGATAAGTAAAAAAAAAATCTCAGTTTGAGTAATGACATACACAGACTACCACTTTCCCTACTCAGAAGTTCGCTCCACTACTCAACATTCTACATGTACCTCAACTAGATTCAGTCAGATGGATGGAACACACTGTGAATGCGTCGAGACAATTACCACATCCAGAAACATTTAGAATGCTGTTCAGTGGAGCGAGACCCTAAATCTGGAATCCAGATGCACATGCACTCTGGTAGAGGCAGGATCCAGATGCACATGCACTCTGGTAGAGGCAGGATTGTCACATCGCGAGTTTGTTGCCCTGGGTGAAGACGACAAAAGGAACTCGAAAATAAGGGCAGCTAGCACAGAGGTGAGGGCAAACGAATATAGACTGGAGCAAGTCGCCTTCAATAACAACAACAAAAAAAAAAAAAAAAAACGAAAAAAAGGAAAGGAAAAAAACTTAAAAAAAGTGAAAAAAAGGGCAGCGAGCATAAAGGTGAAAGCAATAACTGTGCATTGTGCAACCAGGCAGCATTTTCTAAAACGGTTTTCATTTTTTAAAATTTAAAACAGTTTTTAAAACTTTTTTTCTTCCAGAAAAAAGTCGTCACATGACCCCTCCTGACAAACCAAGTAGAGCAACCAAATGGGTCGAATGATGGGATGCATACGATGCATTAAGAAAGGGCCGGGATTGTAATGCCTAAGTAGAGACTGAGAAGATGGAGAGGTCATGAAGCGGGGTGCAAGATATTCCAGCAGCTGTGTACAAATCTAACAGTACTCAGATTGCTCACTCTTGGAAAGTTTCGGTGAAGGTGTGCAAATCCCGAATTGTCTGGTCACCTGTCCCGGCTCCCGGATTTGCAGGTCGTTGAGACGCAGGCACCGTGGGGTGACGAACTGGAGATCATGATTGCGTTCATAGTACTTCATCCGTGTTGTTCTCATTCAATCCGACACCAAAGATCGCATGGCCTTTTTTCATCCCTTTCTTTCTTTTGCACGTAAGTGCCATTCAGGAGGTTGTGGGTTCGAGCCCCAGACCGCCTGCGTCGCACTTAGTGCCAACCACCTAAAAGAGATGCCTTTCACATTTGTAACAGTACTCGGATTGCTTACTCTTACAAAGTTTCCGCCAAGTTGTACAAATCCCGAAGGCACTGTGCGGTGACGAATTGGAGATCATGATTGCGTTCGTACAGTGTTGTCATTTTTTTTCATTTTCTTTTTAAAAAGGAAGCAAGCTACATTCTTCCCTCAACTTCACTTGAAACTACCTAGCTCCGTTTGTAAGGCTCGCAAGCGGCATTCGGGAGGTCGCGTGGTCAATCCCCATTGACCTCATGTACTTTCTTGGGCATGCTTGGCACCCGATACGTGGAGATAGACCACTGGACCCCCCGATCGGCATTGAGCACAGTCTGCTGGTGTTCGAAAAAGGAGGGGACCTGAGAGGACGCACAGAGATTGGTCCTGTTGGCATGGTCCCTGATGCTACCGGCTATCCCCTGGCCAGTATCGCCCACCTGCAGGTCGGGAGCAGCCTCCGCATGTTCTCTCGTGAACACGGTTCTGGATGCTATGGGGTTCCCCGTATGACTATAATTAGGAGTACAGTGTTGTTCTCATTCACTCCAAGTCTCCAACACAAACGTTCTCAATGGCCCAAAAAAAAATTCTTTCTTTTGCACATAACGGACATTCAGGAGGTTGAGGGTTCGAGCCCCACGACCGCCTGCGGCACACTTAGTGACAACCACCTAAAAGAGATGGCTACTCGGATTGCTTACTCTTGCGAAGTTTCCGTGCAGGTGGAGATCGTGATTGAGTTCGTACAGTGTTCTCATTCACACCGACACCAAAGATCGCAACGCTTTTCTTTTTTCTTTTTCGGAAGTTTTCCCCCCTTCTCTTTTCTTTTACTTTCGCAGCTTTCGTACGAAAACGGATTTTGCAGCTTCGGCCCACCTGGATTCCAGCCCCCGGCCTTCAAAAAAAAAAAAAAAAAAAAAAAAACGAAAGAAACGAAAGAAGAACATCGCACGGACGACCACAAATCGCGCGGGAAATCTTTACATCGAACGCTCCGCAAACAAAAGCCACATCACACGCTCCACAATCGGCCAACCAAGAGCTTGCTAACGTGGCAGACTCTCAGACCACGAGAACACCGACGCTGGCCACGCGTGTAAACAGTTCTACATCGCGAGACCGAAGATGCCAGTTGATCGAAAGGAAACAGCCCATGGCTGGTAAACCTTAGAACATTCCCTGACTAGGATAGGATGTCACACACTCATGTCTCTCCATCATCTGCTTTGCTGCATGTTCAGGTGAATCCTAAACATGTTGGAGAAAAAAGTTCAGACTCTGCAGAGACTTCTCATGTCACACAGTCATGTCTTTCAGGCATCTGGTTTGCTGCATGTCCAGGTACAGTCTGACAGTAGAATCCTCAACATGTTGTTGAAAGGAGTGCACAGACTTCTCATGTCACGCAGTCATGTCTTTGATTTTTTTTTTTTTTCTGCATGTCCACGTACAGTCTGACAGGAGAATCCTAAACATACTGGAGAAGAGCAGGTGGAGACTTCTGATGTCTTATCTGGACAGAGAATCCTAAACGTGTTGGAGAAAGGAGTGCAGAGACTTCTGTCTTTCATGCATCTGGTTTTCTGCATGCCTGCCCAGGTACAGTCTGACAGGAGAATCCTAAACATACTGGAGAAGGGAGGGTGGAGACTTCTGATGTCACACACTCGTGTCTGTCATGCATCTGGTTTGATGCATATCATATGTACATTTGGCCACTTCATGTAGCTAGCGCGTAGAGCACCTCTGTGCATTTGTTCACTCCATGCGAATCCTGAATGAACTGCACAAAGGTTGGCGCACTGCGAATCTGATCGACTGCATGAATCCTGATCAGCCTCGGATGTTCCCACCAGGTACATGGTGGTCCACATTGCAATACGAGGAGGACCTGCAAAGAGTAGGAGAAAACTTTCGGACGGCACTCCTGTCATAAACTCTCCTCTGGAAAATCGCCACATCACGTATTTGATCTCTTTTCCGCGTGGCCGTGCTGTGCGCCGTGGACGTAGCTGAAGCAGGTCCACTTGTTTCTGTAATAAAGAGGAGTTTTGTCGTGGACGATGATGGAGGTGGAGAGAAGAGGTGAGGAGACATTGGTCTAATCTTGCGTTCTTCTTTTTTTCCTTCTGTAATGACCCGCCAAAACACAGACTGAGAGCACTGCTGATTTCTGGGATTTGCTGCTGGAATGTATGCCTTGCTGAGATTCTCGCATCCTGCTGAGTTTTCTAAGTCTGACTGTGTGCGTGCCTGTCTGAGTGCTTGTCGGCCTGAGTGTGTGTGTGACCCGCAAGGGTACTTGTTCGTTTGGAGGCCCCGCAGGGCCGGTACTTACCTGTCGCCATAACTTTGAGGGTTGCAGCGCGAAAAACACTCAAGTAGCGGGGGTAGGCCCACAACACTCAGCGGGAAAAACACTCAAGTAGCAGGTAGGCCAGTACCACTCACGTAGTGGTAGAAGTGTCGGGTACTCGAGACCGAGCAGAAGAATACAAAAAGTTGCCATTTTTAGAGGCCCAGTAGAGGTAAGCTAGAGGTAGGCCGGTACCAGTCCAAGTAGCCTGAGTCTGGGGCCTAAATGGACGATATCAGAGCCTGCAATGATGTTTCCCTCCGAAAGTCACTGCCCAAGAGGCAAGCAGGCCGCTATATCTCCAGGAGGAGCAAGCAGCTGCTCCTCATTTGCGGTGTGCAAGGTTGGGCAACATACTGCTTGAGCGAGCGCTGGACTCAGAGCGCTGCCTGGGAGGATGAAGAGGAGCTGGGCGCTCAGCCTGGATATGGCGAGCAGCCCAGCCTGACGAGGAGGAAGAAGGGGGCAAAGGAGGAGAGTAGCAAGGTACTTATGTGGCTATGGTGGACACCATATCTTCATCACCTTGTTATAGTGCCGCACCAGGGAAGCTTCGAGGCAAAGTCAGGCATGGAGGCCTGAAGAGCAGCGACCATAGCTGCTTGGAGTTGTCTTTTGCACAGGAGTGAAAAGCCCTTAGTAGCCTGGGCATGTGAGAGGAAGATGAAGGGGGAAGCCATGGCTATGGTGAACCTATAATTGTGATGGCAGTAAGAGGGAACCTCGGATATTGATTTTCTGGTTCAACCACTCGTTATTATTACTATTTGGAAGAAGAATAAGATTGGTGAAGACAAGGTGGATGAGGAAGGTGGAAAGAGCAGGGGGATTTGTCATTGGTCTTGCTGGTGTATCATCTTCTTCTTCTTCTTTCTCTCTTCTTCTTTGGGCTCTATCTCTTTGCAAGTGCTTTCATTTCTTTTGCAATTGGATGGCATTGTCTTTCCTTGTGAATTTGCACTTCGGAAATGACCAGGTTCGTAACATTTGGTATTGGAGCGGACTTTACTTGCTGGCGAGAGTTGTTAGTCACCCTAACCCTAAATCCGAGTTAGTTAGGGATAACCAACCTCGGATTAGGGTTGGAGGTTAGGGTAAGAGGGGCAGTGAGTTTTGGGTGCCGCCCCCATCTGGTTAGGTCATGTTGGGTCGACATTTGACTTGTCCGGGTTGATCGAGTGAATGTGGGGGTGGTGAGGCACAAAGAAGGCTGACTGGAGCAAGCGAGAGGGAGTAGAGAGTGAGAGGTACTCGCACCTGGAATCTGGACCTGAAGAAGACATCGAGTGACTTTTGGGCTTCCCCTCTAGAGCGAGACTTGACTGGAAGCTGCCATATCTACATTGAAGAGCTGCATGTTGCTACTTTGGTGCTCAACATCGACGGAGGATCCGGCGTTGTAACACGGGTGTAGGAGAGCCTTTTTAGTCATGACCAGGAGACTT